GTCTGCCTACCTTTAAGTCATCAGAAATAATCACCCCTAAATCCTTTCCTCATATGTTGAGGTTAGGACTCTATCAAATATTCTGTACTCTGCCCTTGGGTTTTTACGTCCAAGATGCATTATCTTGCACTTATCCACATTAAATGTCAGTTGCCACAATTCTGACCATTTTTCTAGTTTACCTAAATCATTTGTCATTTGGCTTATCCCTCCTGGAACATCAACCCTTTGATGTTCCAGGAGGGATAAGCCAAATGACAAATGATGTCCGATCTCCATTATATCTTTCATTAAAGAGGCAAAGCTCCCCTGCATTTCTATTTTTATTTGTTCCAACTGTAGATCTAAACATTCTTTTAAGTACACTGGGGTGATCATTTGTGATTCATCTAAGTGTTCCTTTAACTCAGTATCGCTGAAATCTGCAGTTTCCTTACTTAAGGCAGCTTTATTTGGAGTTGATATCTGAGAGATTTCTAAGGTGCTTTTATCTGCTGGGGCATTAAAAAAATGTTAAAGTCTCTTTTCCTGTTTATCTTTTTTTCCCCGGTCTTTTTTTGGGGGAGGTTTCAAATCCTGCCTTTGATCAGCTGTTTTCCTTGTTGCCATTTTTCGGGTCTGATTTCCCTCTATTTTCTAACACGTATTTTATTGGGGAGCTACGTTTAGCAGAAATGCCCTATCAGACGTTTCAGGTTTTTACCACTTTTAAGGAGGTGTTAAGTTCTTTAGCGGTTTCCTTCTTATTTCTTTTCCTCCTTTCTTGCTATCCTTTTTTCTCCATCTTCTTTACTCAATTCTGTTTTTACACCGCTTGGCTTCTCCGCTTACAGCTTCTCCACTTCAGTACTTTCAGAGCTGATTATTGAGCAGTGTATGTCCATATATTTTTTTCCTTTTAATATATATCTTTTATATCTATTTTTTTATGTTTTTCCTCTTCTTTTCTTTCCTTTCCCCCTTTTTTCAATTTTTAAGAGATTGTCCTTTCATTTTTTTTTACAACTTCTCCCCTTCAATACCTTCAATACATTCAGGGCTGGTTTTTAAACGAAGATTTTTATTTTTATTTTATTATTTTTCTTTAAAAACTTTTCCTTTTTTTTCTTTTTCTTTCCTTTTTTTTTCCTTTTCCTTTCTTTCTTTTTTAATTTTCTTTTTGAGACTGTTCTTTAACATTTGCAACTGCTTCAATTTTAACTCATTCAGAACTGGATATTAAACAGTTTTTCCTTTTTTTTTCCTCCCCCCTTTAAATCATGCTTTTTAAATGCCTTATTTAGTTTGGTATTGTCAGTTTCCCAGCCTGCTGCTCCAGTGCTCACCTCCTTCCGTGGTATAGGCTTTTAATCTGCCCACAGCTATACCAAAGAATGCTTCCCCTCAGTGGGCTTAGAAGACTTAGCGACAGCTGTCTCTCCTAGCTGCTCGCATATTCAGGCGGGCGGCGACTCCTTCTTTCCCGCGTTGGACTCCAGCTCAGCTCTGTACGGCGGCGTGTACACTACACTCCCTGCGTGACGTCATGTCATCATCCCCCCCCGGTGTCAGTTTTATTTTAATAGACAGGTGCCACTTTCCAGTTTGGCTTAAAAAGATGTAACAGTACTGATTTTGCAAAATACCAGAAACAGGCAGAAACAATCAGAAATAAGTTTTGAGGAAAAAATATGATATAAAATTGAAAAGATTGACAGGTCAATGTTGTTAAGAACAAAAAAACAACAACAACATAATAATAAGCATAACAATCACAAGAGAAAACAGACAATCTACATCTGTAAAATAAGGAAACAATGGAAATTGTTAAAGAAAGATAACATCCTGCAAAGCATAATACCCAACTGACCAACAATTGCATTTGGAGGAACATCAAATATCAAACACAAGCTAGTCAGAAGCCACAGAGATCCCTTAAAGAAAGTTTCAGACACCAGGAAAAATGAGTAAACTATCCATACAGAAGAGAGCACATGAGAAACATCTCTAGAACACTTTTACAACATATAGTCTCAGGACACTTTGCAGGATCACATAATGCAGATGCTTGTTAATTAGAGTTCAGAGCAATCTGTCAAGTACCTAAACATTGGAGAAGAGGTGTCCTCATAAAGAAACTGGAAAAGAGAGAAATGAGGTGGATTTACCTTTAAGACACCTTATATCCACACGGCCTGAATTCTGACTTTGAGTATCATTTTATGACTTGAGAAATAAAATGAGAAGGAGAGAAACAGTAAAAGAAGAGAGGAAGATATAGGGAAGAGAAACAAGAAAACGAGATTTTTTTATTTTTTTTTTATAAAATACCCCACTTACTATGATTTCAATAGGACAGTTACAAATTAAACTGTATTAGAGGCTTTAAAGGATCACTATAGGATCAGGAACACAAACATGTATTCCTGACCCTATAGTGTTAACACCACCATCAAGCCCCCCTGGGCCCCTCATGCCTCCATTAATATAGCAAAATCTTACTGTATTTAAGCCTGAGGCTGTAATTCTGCATGCTGTTTGACTCAGAAAAACAAGCACTCTGCTGACATCATTAGATGTGGTGGCTTGATCCAATCACAATGCTTCCCCATAGGATTGGCTGAGACTGACAAAGAGGCAGATCAGGGGCAGAGCCAGCATGATTCAAACACAGCCCTGGCCAATCAGCATTAACTCATAGAGATGAATTGAATCAATTAATCTCTGTGAGGAAAGTTCAGTGTCTGCATGCAGAGGGAGGAGATACTGAATGTTTGGATGCATTTTAGGCAGCCATGACCCAGGAAGGATGTCTAACAGCTATACGAGGAGTGGCCAGTGAAGATATCTCTAGGCTGTAATGTAAACACTGCATTTTCTCTGAAAAGACAGTGTTTACAGCAAAAAGCCCAAAGGTAATGATTCTACTCACCAGAACAAATTCAATAAACTGTAGTTGTTTTGGTGACTATAGTGTCTCTTTAAGGGTTATTAAATAGTTCCCAGAATGGCAAGGCTTGTATAAAAAAACTATTCTGCTCTCATCTGTTTTAGAAAAGGTTTAAGAAAAGTTAAACTTGCAACAAGATGTTACAATATTGGATTACGGGAACATTGTATAAAAAGAGCTTAACTGTTATACCAAGGGAACATAATCAGAGTATAAAAGTGTTACTAAAAGATTTAATCAGATTAAAAAAAAATCTTTAGAAAAATTAATTTAATGAAGTATCAAAATACTCCATTATAATTGGTAATCCACCAATATTGGGGTACTGTGAAGTAACGGTGAGCATAACACAATATGGCCATATGGTGTAACTAAATCCCCATATTTGTTTGCTATCCTCTGTCTCTAACTGGATGACTTCATGTTCCCTAATACACACCCTTTCCAAGACTGAAGTCCTCCCTCTCGGGTTATGTCTGTTTCTGTTGTCTTGAAGTGATCTGTGATTACTCCTTCACCACTTATATAAAATCTGCCAATCCTGCCAAATTTGACCTTAAAAACATTTGCCTCAATCTCATATATCTTACTCAGAATGGAACCAAAATCCTTGTCAATGTGCTTTGTTTTCCGCCTTAATTATTTAAATAAATAAACTTTTCTAAATAATCTGCCTAGTGGCCTAAAAAATGCCCAATTTGCATCTCTGAAGTCCGTTATAATTCCTTCTGCTAGAAACATCTTGTAACGGTTCCTTTAAATGGTACACCTCACTCTTAACTATACCACTTTAAGAGGCTAATTGATGTTCACTAATTCACCTATTTAAAAGCCCAACATCAATATCGCAGTGCACAATTAATGTGTCTCTACACCCAGTGGCGTACACATGACCCATGGGGCCCCGGTGTGAAAATTGATCCGTGGCCCCCCCCCCGCGCTTACTCGGCGCGGGTCGGGCCGCAACACATGGCGGCGGGCACCTGGTCGCAGGGGTTGCAGGGCTGCGACCCCGCGACCGCGGTATGCACACACACTTAAAGGACCACTACAGACACCCAGATCACATCAGCTCAATGAAATGGTCTGGGTGCCAGGTCCCTCTAGTTTTAACCCTGCAGCTGAAAATATAGCCGTTTCAGAGAAACGGCTATGTTTCACTGAGGGTTAATCCAGCCTCTGGTGGCTGTCTCATTGACAGCCGCTAGAGGAGATTCTGCAATTCTCACTGTGAAAATCACAGTGAGAAGACACTGAACGTCCATAGGAAAGCATTGAGTAATGCTTTGCTATGGGCGGTTTAAATGCGCGCGCCTCTTGCTGCGCATGTGCATTCGGAGCTGAGAGGCGGAGGGATCCTCAGCGCCAAGGGAGTCCGACGCTGGAGAAAGGTAAATGCTGAAGACACACACAGACACACTCTCACGAACAGACGCATACACACTAGCTAACAGACACACACATTTACTGACAGAGACACACTCAGTGACAGGCATACATACACACTCACTTACAAAACATACACTTTCACTGACAAACACACACTCACTAACAGACATCAAACACACTCAGTAACAGACACACACAGTAACACACTCACTAGCAGACACACACCCAATAACAGACACACTCACTGACACACACACTAACACACACACACAAACACTAACACAAACACACACTAACACACACACTAACACACAAACACACACACAAACACACACTAACACACACTAACACACAAACACACTAGCACACAAACTCACTAACACACACACTAACACACACTAACACACACACACACACACTAACACACACACACACTAACACACTAACATACACACACACACACACACACACACACAAACACACACAAACACACTAACACACACACAAACACACACACACACAAACACTAACACACACACTAACACACACACACATTTAAAAAAAAAATTTAATCCCCCCAGCCTCCTTACCTTTTGGAGAGCTGGGGGGATTCCCTGGGGTCCAATGGTGCTTCTGGGCTGGCTGGCTGTCTGTCTGGGTGGCCGGTGTGAGAGGGAGCACTCTCCCCTGTGTGCTTCCTCTTCAGCTCCCTTGCGCGCCGCATAGGGATGCCGGCGCCGGAAAATGACGTCATCTTCCGGCTCCGGTATCAGTGCGGTGCGCGAGGGAGCTGAAGAGGAAGCACACAGGGAAGAGTGCTCCCTCGCGCACCGGCCACCCAGAGAGACAGCCTGGGTCAGCAGGGCCAGCCTTGGGGGGTCCTGAGGTGGCCGGCTCCTGGGCCCCCCTGGAGAAGAGGCTGGCACTGTGGGTACATACCGGGTCTCAGCCGCGACCCCTGCGACCCTGGTATGTATGCCACTGTCTACACCAGTGTGCAACTGACACCTATCTTTGCTCTGTAGGTGCCGTTATTCCCAAATAACCTTTCTAACTGCCCTTAAAATGTAAAGTCCTTACTCTGTTTGATTTCCACGTTGCCAAACTGGACTAAACTCTTACCATTCTTACGGATAATCTTACTTCATTTGCTACTTGTTGCTGACTCGGACTGGAATTAACTTCTCTATTTGGATTTTCATTTGAATTGATTCTTTATTGCCAGACTGGATTGGACTTTTACTATTCTCTAGGATTATCCCTCTGCTTCTGTATCCTGATGCCAACCCGGACTGGACCTGACACTTCTTCCAGATTTCCCTTTTGGACTGATTAATTGCTGCCAGACCGGATTGGACTTTAACCTTGCTTTTGGATCACCCATACTATTGCCTCACTGCTTACGACCCGGACTGGACTTTACTACTCTTCTGCAATCTTCCAAATAAATTGGATTATCACCACAATTCCGTTTTAGGAGATTGTCACTTCATCTTGGTAACGATCCAATTT